GATGAAAAAGGTGTATGATTTGTTGAATGTAAAACTGATGATCTGCCCTGTAAACGTTCACTCAATCCACAATAAAAACCTAAAATAAATATATAAATAAAATGAAATATATTACTTGAATCAAATGAGAATGAGACACAATATACCAAAACCTTTGGGTCTCAGCAAAAGCAGTGCTCAGAGGGCAATGTATAGCAATAAATGCACACATCCCAAAAGAAGAAAGAACCAAATACCTTAATCAAACATCTCCAACAATTAGAAAAAGAGCAGCAAAGTAAGTCTACTGTAACTAGAAGAAAGAAAAAAAGGTTAAAGCAGAAATAAATGAACTAGAAAACAGAAAAACAATAGACAGTATCAACAAGACAAGAAGCTGGTTCTTCAAAAGGTTTAATAAAATTGAAAAACAATTGGCAAATCTAACTAGAAGATACAGATAACATGAACAAGAAATTATATGGTTGATATATAATTCACAACGGGACCAACCGAAATAAAAGGATGAGAACAGAATACCATGGGGTCCTGATGTGGCGCTATAGGATAATGTACTGGACCACAAGGTCAGTTTGAACTGCAAGGTTGGCAGTACAAGCTCACCAACCATTACTCGGAAACTCTGTACAGGGTCGCTAAGAGTCAGAACCAACTTGATGGCACTTAACAACAGTAGCAGTGAAAAATTAGGAGTCCTGGAGTGGCGCTGCAGGATAAGCACAGGACTGCTAACTACAAGGTTGACAGTTCAAGCCCACCAGCTGCTCCTTGGAAATCCTATACCTTTGCAAGGTTGCTATGAGTTGGAACCGATTCAATGGCACTTAACAACATCAACAATGAAACCTAGATGAAATTAGCAAATTTCTAGAAACACATGACCACTTAAACTAACACAGATAGAAGTAAAAAAACTTTGAACAGGCCTATAACAAGATAAAAAAGTGATCAAGTCATTAAAAAACTGCCAACTAAAAAAAGGTACAGGCCCAGATGGCTTAACTTGTGAATTCTACTAAACATTCAAAGAAGAGTTGACACCAATTCTACTCAAACGATTCTATAATATAGAAAAGGATGGGAAACTCTGAAATTCATTTTATGAAGCAAGCACAACTCTGATATCAAAAACCAGGCAAAGACATCACTCTAAGAAAGAAAATTCTAGACTAGTATCCCTTATCAACATAGATGCAAAACTTCTCAACAAAATCCTAGCAACAAAATGTCAAAAAAATAATAATCCTGACCAAGTGGGATCCATACCAGGAATGCAGGGATGGTTTAATATTATAAAAACAATTCATGTAATCCACCACATAAATAAACCAAAGGAAAAAAATCACATGATCAAATAAATTGATGCAGAAAATGCATTTGACAAAATCCAACACTTATTCTTGATAAAAACTCAACAAAATAGTAACAGAAGGGATTCCTCAACATAATTAATGGTATATATACAAAACTAACAGCCAACATCACTCTCTGTGAGAAACTGGGAGACACTTCAGCCCCTTGTGAACAGGAACCAGACAAGGATGACCTTTATTACTACTCCTATTCAATATTGTGTTGGAAGTCCTAACCAAAGCTATAAGGCAAGAAAGGGAAATTATAGGCATCCAAATTGGCAAAGAAGAATTAAAACTCTATTTGCAGATGATATGATCCTATACTTAGAAAATCCCAAAGACTCAGCAAGGAATTTATTGGAACTCAGTGATATTTTATTACACTAATAAAGAGAACCCTGAAAAGAAAATCAGGAAAGCAATGTAATTTACAATGTTAAGTGCCATCGAGTCAGTTCCGACCCATAGCGACCCTGTACAGGGTTTCCGAGGGTGTAAATCTTTACGGGAGTAGAAAGCCTCATCTTTCTCCCGCGG